AGGAGGGTCCCACATGGTGCGCAGACCTCTCCTGCCGCCCGCTGCTCCCCTCAGCAGTGTACTTCGGTCCTTCTGCCTGCTCTGCTCCCTGCCCTGGCTCTGGTGAATTCTCTCACCCTCCCGCGCTTCTGACTGTATCCAGTGCATGTATAAAGAAACAAACAAATAAATAAATAAATAAAACATGCCTCTGTAAAAAAAAAAAAAATGCATAAGCATCTACAGCTTCATGGTGCTGTGGTAAAGCTTTAAAAAAAAAAAAAAAAAAAAAGAAATAGCAGATGATTCTGGGAAAACTGGGCCACCACAAGGAAAAAAATGAAACTAGACCACTACTTTTCACCGTGCACAAAAATAAACTCCATTCCCTTCTTTTTTTTTTCAGGAGAGCTTTGGCTATTCGGGGTTTTTGGTGATTCCATATGAATTTCATCAATAATTGTTCTATTTCTTTGAAGAATGACATTGAAATTTTGATTGGAATAGCATTGAATCTGTATATTGCTTTTGGTAGGATGGCCATTTTAATAATGTTTATTCTTCCAATCCATGAGCAGGGATGTCTTTCCATTTCTTTGTGTCTTCTTCTATTTCTTTTAACAGTGTTTTATAGTTTTCTTTGTATAGGTCCTTTACCTCTTTTGTTAGATTTATTCCCAAATAGCAAATACTGTTTAATGAACAATGATATAAAAAGTAAAAAAAAAATAAAAAAAGAAATAGATGCGATAGATTTGTAAACTAGAAGAAATCAGGGCAATGAATGATTAATGTGGTCAGTTGATTGGTTCTTCATTGGTTGAATATGTAGAAAGGAAAATGCCTGATACTGATACTGAAAATAAGATTTTAGAAATTAATTTTTGAATAGGTAATTCATGCACAAGTTCACATGTAAAAGTACAAAAGGGTAAAGGGTAAAAAGTTTCCTTTCTACACTCCTGCTTCCCAGATTCAATGTTACCTGTTTCTTGTCCAGGCCACTTGTGTATAAATGTCATTTGGGGGTATGTGTGTGTGTGCACGCACTTGCATTATTTTTTACATTAATTTTATTTAATTAATTTATTTATTTTTAAAATAGAGGCATGTTTTATTTATTTATTTATTTTATCTGTTTGTTTGTTTTTGTTTATACATGCACTGGGTACAGTCAGAAGTGCGGGAGGGCTAGAGAATTCACCAGAGCCAGAGCAGGGAGCAGAGCAGGCAGAAGGACCTAAGTACACTGCTGAGGGGAGCAGCGGGCCGCAGGAGAGGTCTGCGCGCCATGTGGGACCCTCCTCCAGTGGGCGGGGAGCAGCCGGGGATCAAACTGGCGCCGCAGAGGCCGCGGGCAGCTTTGCAACCCAGCGCTCAACCGCTGCGCCATCGGGGAGGCCCTACATTAATTTTAGTTTCCTGTATACAGTGTTCTAGACTTGGTTTTTTTAAATGGCCTTGTCAAAATAGAATTCACATAACATACAGTTCACTCATTATTACTTTTCAAATTCTTATAAATATTTTAAAGCCAAGTGCATATAAAAGTGAGTAAGATTGGGTATTATAAGTTCTTATTTGAGACTAAAAGATTTTTGTTCTACTAGTTGTATTGAAATGTGTCAGAAAAGAAATGACTTCATTTTCAGCTATTTGTATTCGCCTGTTTCCCTGTTTAAATAATGTCCCAGTATGTGAGAAACCCACAATATTAATTACTGAAGTAACACAATATGTAACATTCTCATTTGACCAGAGAGGGTACATGGAGGTGCTGAGAAGATCCTTGAATGAGCGAGAGACCTGGGGCTAGGAACTGGGAGCCAGTGGGGGCTAAGATTTCAATGACCAAAGGCAATTGGCAAGGTCAGTGGTCAGCAGTGATGGATGCTGTTCATGCTAAACAGCTATATGTACCAATCTCTCAGCCCCAAGTCTAGATCAGACCACTCTGTTATCAGTGTCCTGTGCAGAAACCTTCATTCTGTTCATTTCTTTGTCATCTGGAAGTTTTCGTAAACTTTTGCCTAGATCTAGGTATAGTTTGGGGAAGGTAGGAGAAGGGAGAGACACTTCCGTTTGACCTGCCCGAATATTTACCAGAGCGTTAACTTCATTGGGGGTGAGGGAGGTGGCGGGGGGGTGATCACAGAGGGATGGGGGTTTCTGATGAAGATTATGAGTTACAGGAAATGAAGTTGTGTCACTTTATAAACAACCAACATTCTTTTACACACACACACACACACACACACACACACACACTGAAAATGATACATTTAAAATGCTAGGTGATTTCTAAGTGCTGGGGTTTTGTAAAACTTATTTTCTGCTTTTTAGAATTTTCAGACATTTCTGCAATGAACAATACTTCTATGATGAGGGAACAGAACTCTTAAAGTGGAGCTAAAATCAAAAGGCTCGTTCTCCAGGAACCTGAAAGAAAATAAATCACTGATATGGTTAAAGATCAAGATTCTTAATTAAGAAATGAACCTTAAAGATCATTTAGAGTCTAGATTGTAGATTAATGCTATTCAAGGTATGTTGCAGGCCAATTCTAGTCCATGAACTGTGTCTCTTACTAGTTAGTGCTGAGAGATGTTAAAAAAAAGTGAGTAAGCTTTTAGAAACATCTAGAGCACTTTGACATCACTGTATCATAAAGTGTATGCTCGTTTTTCTGGTAGTGGTTTTTACTGTCTTTTGTGAAAGTATCAGTTCATGACCTAGTTGAAATATTATAAAAAATTGGAAGTGCAATTAGTCTATTTAAAAATATATAGTGGGCCTCCCCGGTGGCGCAGCAGTTGAGCGCTGGCCACCGGAAGAGGGTCCCACATGGCGCGCAGACCTCTCCTGCCGCCTGCTGCTCCCCTCAGCAGTGCACTTTGGTCCTTCTGCCTGCTCTGCTCCCCGCTCTGGCTCTGGTGAATTCTCTCACCCTCCCGTGCTTCTGACTGTACCCAGTGCATGTATAAATAAATAAATAAATCTTTGGGGGGGGAATATATATATATATATAGAGAGAGAGAGTCATCTGTTAAATTCAGAAATCTGAGAGGCAGTGATTCTTTCATATCTTGTCTAATCCTTTACCTGGGATCTTTCTAACGCTTGTAGAATGGCTACTAGCTGCCAAGCACTATTGCAAATGCTTTACAAATTTTTACTGGTTTAATCTTTATCACATGAGATGAACACAGTGCCTGTTGTATAGGTACTGTCCTAATTTCATAAGAAGCGGACACAGAGAGGTTAAGTTACTCACCCAGAGTTACATAACTGTAAGTGGTAAAATTGGTTTGAATCCAGGTAATTTGAATTCGGTGACCCTAATATACTATGCAATCATGCCACACTTTTGTGGGTGATTACTTACCATGTTTCTCAACAATGTACTGTTGGCTTGTTGAGTAGGACAGTTCTCATGGTATCCTTGCCTGCCCTGCTCCACCTGTCTGGTCATTGTGTATGTAGGTGGGGACTCCCTTCTGTTTCTTAATGTTCCCTTGATGGAAAACTGAGATGCCCAGCATTCTCTTACTATCGTTATTATTGCTCTGTATTCCCTTAGTTCTTTTTTTTTTTTTTTTTTAAATATTTATTTATTTATTTATACAAGCACTGGGTACAGTCAGAAGTGTGGGAGGGTGAGAGGATTCACCAGAGCCAGAGCGGAGAGCAGAGCAGAGCAGGCAGACTTCCGAAGTACACTGCTGAGGGGAGCAGCGGGCGGCAGAAGAGGTCTGCGCGCCATGTGGGCCCCTTGCCCGGCGGCTGGGGATTGAACCGGCGCTGCAGAGGCTGCGGGCAGCTTCGCAGTCCAGCACTCAACCGCTGCGCCACCAGGGAATACCGCTGTATTCCCTTAGTTCTAAAGCTCTTTCTTGTATAGGAATCTGCTTTCTAACTTCTTTACTGGTTAATGTTAGTTTAGATCACTTCAAAACCTTTCAGGCCAAACGACTACCTGTGCACTGATCTGCAATATAGAATTTCTGGAGCCTTCCTTTTTCTGTTCTTCTTGGGTCAGCATGTAATTATGCTTATTAAAACGAGAAAATAGAAACCAGTAAGGTTAGTTCATTATTTAATATAGATTATGTTTTTCATTTACCTATAACCTAGAGTTAATTCAATAATAAATCATACTGCTAGCCTTTGTATTTGCCATTATCTAAAACCCTGAGGTCTTTATCCTTCGAATTACTGCTGAGCCATATCTTGCCCATCTGGTTTTTGAAAATTTAAGTTCTGAATGTAAGTATAGTATTTTATAGATGCAGCTTGTTCTTTCTAAACTGAATCTTCATTTTGGCTCCTTGTTCTCCCTGAAGCCTGCACATCCCTTCTCCATACAGCTTACTTCTATTACTCATCCATCAGCTCCTCCTCCTGTTTTCTGTGGAGTCGGAAAGCATACCTTTTATATCATTAGTGATGAAACTGATTAAAAAATCTTCAGTGCTCTGGTATGCCATTAGATTCTGTGTTTCCATTTTGACATGTATTCCTCAGTCAATTGATTGTTGACATTAAGTTAGCTGACGCTGCAGCGTCTATAGTGGCCAGGCTTGCGTGCACTTGGATAGCAGAGTGCAGGATCTGGGATAATAAGATAGTTAAAAGAATCTGCTTTTAGATCGATTTTTCTGCTTGAATATTTGTTCTTTCTGTGATAACTTAGCCTTTCTGTGTACCAGTTGATGCACTGATTTTTTTTGGCGGGGGAGGGAACCTATTTCCCCTCCTCAGAAATAACTAAGGATTTGTAATAATAAATAGTTGCAGGAACAGTCAACATTTTATTAAAGTAGGGTGTTCATTCCTTATGTGTTAGTAAAATTCTCTTAAGTATCGAATTTTGTTAGGGGGAAGCAGACTGTGGACTGCTTGGTGCAGTTAAGAGCAGTAATTTGGGATTGAATTTTTTTTCTTTTTTGTGAGAACTAACGTTTTGTTCCCCCAGGTTCATTCTGTTAATTAAAGAAAAGCTTTATTCTTTTTCTTTTCAGCTTGCTGAACTAAAGCAGGAATGTCTTGCTCGTGGTTTGGAGACCAAAGGGATAAAACAAGATCTTATCAACAGACTCCAGGCATATCTTGAAGAGCATGGTGAGTGCTTTTTGGAGGCAAAGAGTGATATGAGTGAGGGGATTAATTTTCCAACTCTGCCATTTAAAAGATTTCTTTTCATTAAGGTTGTTGATGTGATAAAAGCTCTTAATTAATTTATAAAAAAACCTCTTTGTCATCTAAAATAGTGGTCGTTAATGCAAAGAAATATTCCCTTATCCCCCCCTTTTTAAGACATGATTTATTCAATATTCAAGCAAATTATTTTAAAGAAATATGGTAAAACAAGTGTCACTAGACTGAGAATTGGAAGATTTGAATTCTAATTCCTCTTATTTGTTAGGTAACTTTGGACATTCACCGTTTATATGGCTGAATTCTGATCTGTGAAATTTGATGTGACTCCACCTTTGAAATCCAGAAACTTCTGGTCTCTTCTAGCTCTGACAAATTCTAATTCTGCCTTTTAAAAACAACTTCATTTAAGGTTTATTGGCATACTTTGTTGATACTGCTGGTTTGGTTTAGACCACTGCAATGAAGGAATCACAAATATTTTGGTTGTTTTTTTTAGTTCATATAAAAGTTTTGTATGTACTGTACTATGGTCTATTAAGTGTGCGGTAGCATTATTACTTTTTTGCTAAAAATGCCGTCATCTGAGCCTTCATTAATTCCTAACCATTTTGTTGGTAGAAAGTCTTTCCTCATTGTTGATGACTGCTGACTGATCAGACTGAAGTTTGGGGTGACTGGCATTTTTTTTTAAAGATTTATTTATTTATTTGTGCATGCAAGAACTGGGGTGCAGGCCAGAAATGTGGGTGTGAGAAGATTCACTAGAGACAGAGTGGGAAACAGAACAGGCAGATTGACTGAAATACACTGCTGAGGGGAGCAGTGGGAGAGTTGAGGTCTGCTGCGCCATATGGTAGCTCCTTGGTCAGGGATCGAACTCATGCTGCAGTGGCTGTGGGTAGCTTCATAGGTTGTGTCTTAACCCCTTGCACCACCAGGGAGGCCCCTGGCAGTTTCTTAAAATAAATCATAATGAAGTTTGCCACATAGTTGACTTTTTTTTCTACTGGCTTGCAGTGCTGGTTTATAGCATACTACCCACTTTAGAACTTCTTTCAAAATTGGACTCGGTCTTCTCAAACTCTATTGCTGCTTTATCAACTAAGTTTATATTGTATTTTAAATGCTTTGTTGGAATTTCTACAATGTCAACAGCATCTTCATCTGCAATAGATTCCATCTTAAGAAATTCCTTTTTTTGCTTTTCATAAGTTCCAACTTCTCACTCATTCAAGTTTTATTGTAAAAATGTAGCAATTCAGGTTCCATTTTTAGTTCTGCTTTTGCTATTTCCATCATATCTGCAGTTACTTCTTCCACTGAAGTCTTGAAGGTTGCTTAAAGTGATCTGTGAGGGTTGCAGTTAACTTCTTCCAAATTCCTTTTATTCTGACTTCTCTTGAATCACACATGTTCTTAATGACATATAGAATGGTGAATCTTTTCCAGAAGACATTTTATTTACTTTGCCCAGATTCATCAGAGGAGTCATTTTCCATAACAGCTATAGCTTTATTTATTAAATAATAAGATTTGAAAGTCAGAATTAGGGGCCTCCCTGGTGGCGCGAGGGGTTAAGCACAACACTGTGAAATTGTCCGCAGCCTCTGCAGCACAAGTTCGATCCTCAGCAGGCCAGGGAGCTACCCACATGGCGCAGCAGACCTCTCCTGTCTTGCCCACTGCCCCCCTCAGCTGTGTATTTCAGTGGGTCTGCCTGTTCTGTTCCCTACTCTGTCTGTGGTGAATCTGCTCACCCCCGCATCTCTGGCCTGTGCCTAGTTTTTGTATGCATAAATAAATAAATCTTTTTAAAAAAACTCAGAATTCCTTGAACCTCAGACTGCAGAAAGGATGTTAGCAGGCATGAAAACAATGTTAATCTTACACATTTCCTTCAGACCTCTTGGGTGACTGGGTACATTATCAGTGAGCAGTAATATTTTGAAAGGAATCTATTTCTGAGCAATAGATCTTTAACAGTGGGCTTAAAATAAGCAGTAAGCCATGTTGTAAACAGATGTGCTATCATTCAGGCTTTGTTATTCCATTTATAGGGCACAGACATAGTTGATTTAGCATATTCTTAAGGGACCTACGATTTTCAAAATGGTAAATGAGCATTGGTTTGAACTTGAAGTCACCAGCTACTTTTACCCCTGCTAATAAGGTTATTTCATTCATATGGGAAAATCTGTTGCTTAGTGTAGTCACCTTCATTAATGATTTTAGCTTGATCTAGTGGATAACTTGGTACAGCTTCTGTATTAGCACTTGTTATTTCACAGTGTACTTAGATGTTACGGAGTTGACTTCTTTCCTAAAACTTCATGAATTAATTTCTGCTAACCTCAGACTGTTCTTCTGAAGCTTCCTCACCTCCTATCTGTCACAGACTTAAGGAGATTTAGGGCCTATCTCTGGATTAGGCTTTGGCTTAAGGAATTGTTGTGACTGGTTTAATCTGTCCAGACCACTAAAACTTTCTCCGTATCAATAAGACTGTTTTACTTTCTTACCATTTGTGTGTCCACTGGAGTAGCACTTTTAATTCCCTTCAAGAGCTTTTCCTTTATTTTTGCAAATTGGCTAGCCTTTTTTGCACAAAAGATCTAGTTGTTTGTTTATTGGCTTTGATATTCCCTCCTCACTAAGCTTAAGCAATTTTAGCTTCTGATTGAAAATAAGAGGTGTTTGACTCTTTTTTCATTTGAACAATAGAGAGGTCATTATAGAGTTACTAATTGGCCTAATTTCAATATTGTGTCTCAGGGAACAGGGAGACCCAAGGAGAGAGAGCAACCAGTTGGTGGGGCAGTGAGAACACATACATTTATTAAGTTCTCCATTTTGTGTGGGTGTGGTTCATGGTGCCCAAAAACAATTACAATAGTAACAGCAAAGATTATAGATCACCATAAAATATAATGTTTTAATATATATAGTATATACTTATGTATGTATAATAAAAAAATATTTAAAAAAATGTAATGGTTGCCAAAACGTAACAAAGACATGAAGTAGGCACATGCACTGTAAGAAAAATCGTGCCAGATAGACTTGCTTTGTGCAGGGTTGTAATAAACTTTCAGTTCGTAAAGAAACCAGTATTTGTAAAGTACAATAAAGTGAAGTACGGGGGTCCTCCCTGGTGGCATGGGGTTAAAGACAGCGCCATCAAGCTATTGCCAGCCACTGCAGCACAAGTTTGACTCTCAGCCGACCAGGGAGCAACCCACAGGGCACAGCAGACCTCTCCTGTCTTGCCCGCTGCTCCTCTCAGCAGTGTATTTCAGTAGATCCTCCTATTCTGCTCCCCACTCTCTCTGGTGAATCCTGTCACCCCCCGTACCTCTGGCCTGTACCCCAGCTCTTGTATGCATAAATAAATAAATCTTTTATAAAAACCCAATAAAGTTAAGTACAATAACATGAAATAGGTTTTACTATCATGCCAGGTTGTACAATATCCCCTCCAAATTTTATTTCCATTTCTTTCACACCCAACACACTCAGCCAATCTTTGTCCTCGTAAACCATGTAGTATTTGGCATAAAGTTTTGTTTTTTTTTGGTGGGACCCTCGCCGGTGGCTGGGGAACAAACCGGTGCTGCAGAGGCTGCAGGCAGCCTCACAGCCCAGCGCTCAACCGCTGCGCCACCAGGGGAGGCCCGGCATATAGTATTTTTATATGAGTGGCAGTGAGGCCATGGCCTTACTTTCTCTTTTTCCTTTATGTCTTTTTTTTTTTTTTTTTAAATAATGATAGATCCATGTGACCTGTGGCTGTGAGGTCGTGTAATCTATTGACTCATGTAGTCTATTGACTCAGTTTTGGTGTAGTGTTCTATAATATACAAGAATCCACCACGTCTTACTTAATTCACCCAGTGACATACCTATTTTGCCTCCTGAACTACTTCCTTAATATTTCCTAATGCTCCTGTGTGAGAGTCATTATAGGGTAAAATTGATATTCTCATCATTAGGGTTCTTGTATCATCACAAACCTAAACTTGGTGCTGTTCTACCAAGTAGTCTAATTTTTGCTTATCTGTTGTTTTAATTTATATTCCTCTAATTTACGATTGTTAAATATTTCTTGTGTTCTTGGTTCTTTGGGTGTCATCTTTGCCTGTTTTTTTATTGGGGTTTCCATTACTCTCAGTTTACAGGCATCTCTTTTATATTCTAATGCTATTACATTGTTATTTTTAGATACAGATACCTTCTTTGTCATTTATTTCTTTTCCTTTGGTGTCATTCCTTAAGTAGATGTCCTTAGTTTTGAGAAATAGTAAATTTTTTGCCTCTTTTGTGTCTTTGATTTTTTTTTCCCCTCCCCACTACTTAATAATAAAGATATTCTCTATTGCTTTTTACTAATGCCATGGTTGACCTCGTTATATTTAGTTCTTCAGTCCAGTTGGAGTTCAACTTTATATTAATGTTAGGTTGAGAATATAATTTTATATTTTATATAGAGCAATTTTGTTAGTGTTAGTTCTGCCTTCATGATTGAGTTTCATTTGGGGAAAGCAAAATGATTATAATTTTAGCCTAAGTACAGTGATCGAGATGGTTTTATAGCAGGGCTTGACCTAAATATTTTAATATTCTTTAGCTGAAGAGGAAGCAAATGAAGAAGATGTACTGGGAGATGAAACAGAGGTGAGTTGGACAGAGTAAGGTTAGTCACTGGCCTGGCAATGTGCCACTGCCTTGTCCACATTGCTTAACAACCAATCATAAGAGTACTCAAATACTAACTCATTAGGGGAGCATAAAGGGGAAATGAAGGTTCAGAAAGACTTGTTCATTTTGGAGTTCTCATAGTCTTTGTTGATGGGTATGTGCAGTACTCTTGATTTAAGTTAATCATCTTGTTTCATTTGGTTTTAGGAAGAAGAACCAAAGCCAATAGATCTTCCTGCCAAAGAAGAAGAACCTGCTGAAAAAACTGTTGACGTGTAACTATCCTTTTTTTTAATAATCTCATTACAGAATGGACAGTTCTGGGTTTTGGGGGAACTTTTAATCTCTTATACACCCCTATTGGCCTTTTTATTTCTCATTAGATTATACAATTTTTGGAAAGAGTTTACTTCATTCCAAATCCATGGTCTCAAAGAAGCAAAGTCATATCTGGGTTATATTAGATTAGAATCAGGAGACTTCAATCCCAGACAGTCTCCTAGCCTTTGTTAGTCTTTTGTAGGATTACCACATTAGATCATTTTCTGTATAGAGAATCATACCTATTGTCTGCTTATCAGGAATTTTATAAGGGTAGAGGGTGCTGAGCAGAGGTTTTTGTCTCTTAAGTAACGCTGTATTCTCCCTTCTTTATTTACAGTGGAAAAGGGGAGGATAGGATACTATAGGGGAAAGTGGTTCTGATTTATTTAAACTGCCACAAGGTTGATTATAGCCACCTTTATTTGGGACATTTTTTTTTTAAAGATTTATTTATTTATTTATACAAGTACAGTCAGAAGCGCGGGAGAGTGAGAGAATTCACCAGAGCCAGAGTGGGGAACAGAATAGGCAGACCGACGAAATACACTGCTGAGGGGAGCATCGGGTGTGGCAGGAGAGGTCTGTGCGCCATGTATGTGGGACCCTCGCCAGTGGGGTGGCCGGGGATCGAACCAGCACTACAGAGGCTGTGGGCAGCTTCGCAGCCCAGTGCTCAACCGCTGCGCCACCAGGAGAGGCCTATTTGGAACTTTTTACACAAATATCTGACCATCTTATACTTCAGTTCTTTAAGAGCAGT